GAGACGTGAATTTTTTGGCAGGGAAAAGAATGAAGAACAAAGATTAAAGGAGGTCCTCATGAGCGAGATTGTGCTATCATCACAACCGGACCAATGGAGCTGGAACGTAGATGCAGCAAATGGATACTCAGTCGGCAAGGCATACTCAATGATGGTTGGACAGAGTAGAATTCTGGAGGCAAGAATATGCAAAAAGATATGGAACAAACTAAATCCGACAAAAGTAAGCTGTTTTGGTTGGCGCCTTTTACTTAATGGCCTTCCAACAAAATCAAATCTTCAAAAGAGGGGCATTTTGCTTGAAGAAGAGGAGAGCATCTGCAGCGTTTGTAGAAGGAATGTTGAGGATGAAAATCACTTATTTGCGCAATGCAATAAGATCCAAGAGCTATGGATGAGATGTTACAAATGGTGGGGGATTTCCATCTCCCTCCCAAACTCTATTTCTCTTCTTTGCGAAGCGCATAGTCAAGGGATAAAGAAAGTAGTTTCAGCTGACGTGTGGTTTTTCATCTTCTTGGTGGTGACATGGTCCATATGGTACACAAGAAACAAAATCATTCACAACTCATAGCAATGGGAAGAAGACAAAATATTTGATTTAATTCAAAGGAGGTCTTTTGCATGGATTAGGGGGAAATTTGTAAACACTATGTTCTCCTTTTTTAGTTGGTGTAATTTCCCTAGCCTATGTGTGCAAAAAATCACTAAAAACTAGATTTGTTGTTAAACATTTAGCTTCGATTTTTGAATGTCCTCATAGGTTATCTTTTGTAATGTCTCATGGAGACTAAGAGTTGAGTACATCTTGTACTCCTCATCACAATAAAATATTTGATTCATCTAAAAAAAAATATATAATGTAACTTTTAAACATTATTTTCTAATTCTTTTTACAATATCTTTACTCTATTTCTCTTATATTTAAATTTTCTTGAAGCTTCTCAGCTTCTTGCTTAACATTCTATCGTTCCAGGAAGTCTTAATTTTTTTTTCCACCCTTAGTTCAAGTCCTTTCAGAATTCTTAATCGAATTAAGTGCAAATAAGTCACTTTTGTACCAAGGTCCCAAAGCTCTTGTTTATTCTAATTGGGCCCTTAAACCAAGATTAATAATTAGTAAGGTGCTAAAAAATTACGGGTATGACATCCTCTCCAACTTAAAAAGAGTTTAGTCCTCTAAACTCAAGCCTGAGGTCATCAAAGAGTACTGGAAGATCACTCACAATCTGTGATATGAATTGGGCACTCATTAATTAAACCAGAAGTCCATATTATAGACAATATTCGTTCAAATTAAATAATCAATGTTCAAAGCAAATTTTGTACATGCTTAAGGAAAGTCACGAACCTATATCCTCTGCATCGGAAGCCTGAGACTTTTGATAGGTTATGGTATGAGGCCCGAACCCCAATATTCTTATTCTACGTAACACGATTTGTACGTACGTAGGATTTTGCCTTTTAGTTTGCTTGGATGGGGCGCAAGCACCCTGGGCTATCTAACGGAATATATACATATTTTTAATCATTAAACCTATAATATATATATATTAGCCTCTAAATTTATAAATTCAGGAACTACAAATATGTATATATAGTTAAATTTAACAAATTATCTAATGAAATAATTAAAAAATATATTTTTCATAATTCAAGGATGGAAAAGTACAAAAAAAAAGGTTCAGAAACTAAAAGTGATCAAAATTAAAGATTTATGCACTAAAAATGATATTTAACCTTAAGAATTGCATGCCCAATCCAAAAGTTGCAAGGTGGGCCCTGTGATGTTTAGCTTTAGTGCAGTATTATAAGAATAACTTTTTTAAATTATTTTTTGATATAATTTTCACATATTATTAAATGAGTAGATGTATTTAATATTATAAATTTTACATAAATAAAAAAAATCAATTATTTAAATAACATATCAATAACATAAAAGAATTATCACAAAATCATTTTCCTTACCTTGTCTGTAGCTTGCTACCAAAAGGTGTGATTTATAATCTTGATAAAAATCAGGAGGGCTTTTCTGTGGGGACGGTGTGAGAGAAAAATATATAAATTGGGTTAGGTGGGAGTTGGTTTGCAGAAATAAAGAGGAAGGTGGGTTGGGTATAAAAGACTTAAAAAATTGTTTAATTTAGCATTACTAGGGAAGTGGTGGGCAAAGTGGCTAATAGGGAGAGAAATTTACGGAGAAAGGTGGTTGAAGCATAATATGGTAAGCCAGGATGCAGTTTGGGAGGAATAGGTGAGGGTAGATGAGTAGGATCAATTTGGTGTAGAGATATATGCAAAATTAATTTGGAGGAACCTAGCAGCGCTGGTTGGCTGGAAGAAAATACAAGATTACTTTTGGGTGATGAAGGAGTGAAATTTGGGACAGAAAACTGGCTTGGGATAGGTGTTTTAGCTAACAAATATTCAAGGTTATTTTTGCTATCAACAGGAAAGAAGTTCCCAAATCACAATAAAACAAATATTCAAGTCCTCCTTTATTTAGAACCTCAATTGGTGACGCTTTATTTTATGAGGATCTTTCTTAAGTTGGCTTGACATTGAGCCTGTGGCCGGTTATAGGCAATTGGGCTAGTATTGGGCCACTATCCCCACGCCCTTGAAACTACATGAATCTCATGCAAGTTTTTAAAGGTCAATTAAAATATGCACGCAGACAGCAACGGCGGTGGCATCAATTCATCTAATTTTTAAAAAATAAAGAAGTCATTCTCTCAATCAAACCACAACAGAAAAGAATTATTCCCCCAAAGCCCAACATCTTAAGGTAAATTTTTTGGAATCCAGATCAGATAAAATAACCGTAAGTAACATCCTTTAAATCTGACTTGGGCACCATAAAGGTGGAATTACTCGGCTAGAAGTAGGAGAACAGTGAGTTCAAATGGCGTAGAAAGCACTGACGGTTCAGGTGTGAGTATGGCACATCTCCACTAACTGGTTGCGGCTTCTCCGCCATGAGTGGAGGATGCAAGTGCTAATTTAAATGTTTAGGTTCTCTCTCTCTCTTTCTTTCTCTCTCTCTCTCTCTGAGTCTGAGTCGGTGCCTCTAAGTAGCAAAAGAAAATGCTGACATAATTTTAACCTTTTAAAGGAAATGTGATTTAACTTTTAAATTTTTTTAGGTTTTTTTAATTTATGCATTTAGAATAAAATTTAAGAGTATAATAAATACATATTTTTATTATAAATTTATGTTGAAAAAATAAAAATTAATATTAATTTATTAATTATTTAATTAAATTTATTTACGTAACAGTAATATTAAAATTAATACTATAGTAACTTTTATATTTCTTTATATATATTTATGATAAAAAAATTTCTTTAAGTCATATATTAGAAAAACCTAATTTTTTTTCCACTTTAATTAGTCTAAGTCCTAAAAATTCTTAATCTAATTAACTCCAACTAAGTCACTTATGTAGTAATTGTTTTAAAGCTCTTGTAAACACAATTGAGCCTTTAAATCAAGATTAATAATTAATTAGTAAGGTGGTCAAAATTTTCGGGATATGAAACGATATGCCAATAATTGAACTTACACACCAATATATAAACAATGTTGGTAACGTTCGATCGGTTGAGAAATCAACATTAACCATGTCTTAATCAGTTTGTCAACAATTTAACTTTCCCCAATTGAACAATGTTGGAACCTTCTGGTTGAGAGTTTAATAATACCCTAGGGTCAATGATTTTGATCTTAAACGGTATTTATCAAATCATTAAATATTTCCTAATGTTTCTTTTATCGCCAATACCGTGAGAACTGAGAACGCAACACAACGCGCCATTTGAGACATTATTCAAATGTTATCTGATAATAATTTGTCCATCAATTAATAGATGTGATTCATGTTTTAAAATGAATTTATTAAAATATTTTTAATAAAATAATATAAAAATAATTTTGATAAAAATATTTTAAGAAATTCATAAAATAAATTACATATTTAATTTACAATCTATCCAATATAACTTTTTTTTTATTAATAAATTCAAAATTAAAACTATTTCAGATTTTAAAATAATATTCCTACCAGCTATTGTATTGTAATACCCCCAAAATTTTCAAGAACAAATAAGTGTGAGCTAGGGACCTAATTGTGAGAAAATATTATTAGTGAATCTAATGGCGATTTGTGTTAAATTCAAGGGGCTTAAAAGAGGAAAATTTGGATAAGGATGGCTTATTTCTTTTCTTCTTCTTTCTTTCTTCTTCAGCCCACGTGCTTCTGCTCTTCCCGACCCTGCTGCAACCCGAAACAAAAAAAAAAAAAAAAAAAAAG